ACCGTACTGAGCAAAGGAAGCAAGCACCGAAGAATAAGTGCAGAAATATTCCATCAATATAAAGCTCAAGCACAGGGCACACTAAACAATATAGTGTTAGTGGATTTGACACAAGGGATAAACCTATAAGGAAAAGCAAAGGGATGAAACACACGATTAGGGACGGTGTGGGAAGGAGGTCTAGGGCGAGGAAAACAGGCTTCTGTGGCACTAGTAACATCCTATTCAATAAACTTGGTAGGGGGCACATAGGTGTGTGTTTATTACTCTTTAAACTGWACAAATATATTTTATATATTTTATCTATGTCTATTTTAAAATTAAAATGTATCAAATAAATGAATTAGATCCCCTTGGAGGCACTTCTGATTTTGAAATTTTCATAAAATCTAATCTCATCTGAAAAGTTGAAAATCAGCAGAACTATATGGCAGAATGCTAGGCTTTCAGATCTGAACGTGCAGCAGAACTATATGGCAGAATGCTAGGCTTTCAGATCTGAACGTGCCCCTCTGTTACTACCTCCCGCCCTCATTCTACAAATGAGCTCCAGAAAGTGAAATCAATTTCTCAAGTCACATGCACCTGAGTTGCAGAACAGGACTAGGGACAAAGGTCCAGTAAGCCCTGACACCCCATGCTTTCCTCTCACGTATGGCTAGGGCTGAGTAGCAATCTTCTATTTACAGTGAGCATTCATTCTGGATATTCCCAGTTCTTTTTTTTTTCAATTGGTTATTTTTAGTTATATGTAACAATAGGATTCATTTTGACATAATTGTAAAAGCATGGAATATAATTTGTTCTAATTCAGTCCCCAGTACTTCCCCTTCCCCTTCCCTCTCCCTCCCCATGTTCCCTTTCCTCCACTCTACTGATCTTTCTGCTATACACTTATAGTTTTTTTTTTTAATTATTGTCTTATGGATGTACTCTATGATGAGATTCAATGTGGTGTATTCATATATGTACATAGAAAAACAAGGTCGGGTCATTCCACTGTCTTTCCCTATCCCACCCCTCCTCCCTACTTTTCCTCCTCCTTTGTCTACTCCACTGATCTTCTATTCTTTTTTTTTACCCAYCCACCCCCCATTATTTTGGATTAGCTTCTGCATATCAGAGAACACATTCCACCTTTGACTCCCTTATTTCACTTAGTATGATAGTCTGCAGTTCCATCCATTTACTGACGAGTGCCATAAAGTCATTCCACTTTATGGCTGAGTAATGCTCCATTGTGTGTAGACATACCACATTTTCTTTATTCATTCATCTGTTGAAGGACACCTAGGTTGGCTCCATAGCTCGGCTATTGGTAACTGTGCTGCTATAAACATTGATATGGCTATGACACTGTTGTGTGTAGATTTTAAATATTTTGGATATATACCTAGGAGTGGGATAGCTGGGTCATATATTGGTACCAGTCCTAGTTTTTTGAGGAATCTCTACACTGCTTTCCAGAGTGGTTGCACTAATTTTCAGTCCCACCATGAATGTATGAGCGTACCCCTTCCCCAACATTGTATTTTAGATAATTGCCATTCTGACTATAATGAGATGAAATCTCAATGTAGTTTTAATTTGCATTTCTCTAATTGCTATAGGTGTTGAACTTTTTTAATATATTTGTTGACCATTCATATTTCTTCTTTTGAGAAGTGTCTGTTTAGTTCCTTGGCACATTTATCTATTGGTTTTTTTTTTTTTTTTTGATGTTAAGTTTTTTGTGTTCTTTGCATACCCTGGATATTAACGCCCTGAGGAGCAGGTGGCAAAGATTTTTCTCCCATTCTGGAGGCTCTCTGTTCATACTCTTAATTGATTCCTTTGCTGTGCAGAAGTTTTTAATTTGATGCCATCCCATTTATTGATTTTTTTTAATTTTGCTTCTTGTGCTTTAGTAGTCTTGTTAAGAAAGTTGATTCCTGAGTTGACTTGTTGGAGTGTTGGGACTACATTTTCTTCTAGCAGTTGTAGGGTTTCTGGTCTCATTCTTAGGTCTTTGGTCCACTTTGAGTTGATTTATGTACAGAGTGAGAGATAGGAGTTAATTTCATTCTACTACATATGAATTTCCAGTTTTCCCAGCACCATTTGTTAAAAAGGCTATCTTTTCTCCAATGTATATTTTTGGCACCTTTGTCTAATATCAGATAACTGTGTTTTGGGGGCATTTTCTGTCTTCTATTCCATTCCATTGATCTTCCTGCCAGTTTTGGTGCCAATACCATGCTGTTTTAACTTTGCACATTCTTTCCTAATGTCCAACCATAGTATTTGCTTTTGTTTTATTTAATTAATAGACTTTTATTTTTTTGGATTCACAGAATAATGACTGGCCTGGATACACTAGTTCTGTTAAATCTATATTGCTAACCTTCTTCATGACCTTCCTGTTATTTGAATATCCGACTCTGCTCAGCCTCAAACACATCTGTCATGCTCATACTGCTTGCTACATACCTTTTATCCCTGTCTTCTCCACTGTATTTCCAGGAACCCCTGAGACTCTTATCAACCATTTCATCCTTTTTACCAAAAGCTCCTTGGGGTGGGGAATGGAGGAATCGGTCGTTCCAAGTTTTCTTGTGGCCTCCTGTTTTTCTGTACTGAGAGAGGTAGCTCTGAGGGTGGAGTTAGCTGGGAAAACAAAGGGGAGAAAAGAAGGGAAAAAACAGGAACTATTTCCAATGAGGTCATAGGCCAGGACCCAACTAATTCCACGAAGCAATTGATCCGCCACCTGCACACCCAGAACAGCCTGTACTCTGGCTTTGCCTGCTCTGGGGACTAGGCATTGTTTGATATGATGAATTCTCATGATGCCTGGTGGAAGATGAGCCCTCCCCCACCTCCTGTCACCACTGTCCCCACCAGGGCCCTGCCTCTTCACAGGGGTGGCTTGGGGGCCACAAGCAAGACTCCACAGTGAATTTAAAATGTTCAGACACACGGTACACCCTGAGGAAGTCCTTCTCATGGACTCACAGGAGGTCAGCTGTGAAGGAAAAGCTCAGCCTCTTCATTTTGCACAGAAGTGAACGGAGGCCCCAGGGAAGGAAGGACCGCATTCACTGCCTCCCGGAGACTTAGTGGCAGTGATGAGCCTGGAGTCCAGGGGTCTGATTCCCAGACTGCTCCATCTCCAACTGTCCTGCTGTGATTTCTGGAACCACCCCTCTCTCCCTCACCCTGGCCCTTTAAGCCTTCCTCTAGCCTACAGAGGTGAACAAACACTTGCGAAATATTTCTGGCATTCACCTGGGAAATCTTTCCTGTTTTTATTCTGGCTTCTTCTGCAGAACGACTTTCCCAGTCAATGATGACGTATTATTTGCTGGGGTGATTTTGTCTGATTCCAGGCTGGTTCCTCAGACCTTCGGGTTGGGAAACTACCTCATTGATTTCCCCCACCATTGATCCCTCCTGAAAATGTCGACTTAGAGTAAYCAAATCCTCAGAAAACCCATGTGAAAGACCAACTGTTCACTAATGTGTGTGAGAGCTGTAACTCTCCCCTTGGACTAGTTTGTGTTGGCCCAGCCAACTCGTCCCCTCCCAAAAGTGATCTATGTGAAAAGCCAAGCTGCCAAGCAGTCTCCTGGTGAGGGSGGGCTAAGAACATGGGAGCTGGCCACAGGACTCAAAGAGGATTCATTTGCCTTCCTTTAGCTGCTGACCAGCCCCTTCCTGAGGGATCCATCCTCACTTTAGCTGCACAAATGCACTCCGTGGGTCGCTGTATTTCTGTTGGCCCTGGGAGCCATTTGTTTCTGTGGAAGAAACCTCACCTCTTGACATTCTGCCCATGATGTTTGGATTTCATAACTTAACTCCTTATGAGAAAATCTTATTTCCCATATGTCAAAGTCCTTTATTGGAGCTTGTTCCCACGTAACTYAGTTGTTCAGACACTTATAAATCTACCTCTTCTATTATCTAACTTCTATTTATTTCTTCATAATGTCTATAAGAACATTCCAAGAGAACTTAGGAAATGTCTTACAAATTCATATTATGGCTCTATTCAAAAGTCATCAGTGCAATTGATCATTTTGGCAACAAGATGATGGGTAACATTATATCTCTCCACTTTTGTTTATGTTTGAGATTTTTCCCCCCCTTAAAACTAGGGATAAAACTGCTGTGGCTTCTCAGTACCCCACAAAGCCTGAACTTCTTAAATTGAATTGAGCCCTTCCTCAAACATGTCTAAAAACCCTTTTCCTGTATGACTTCCCTCTACTCCCTACAAATACCACCCCTACCCCAGTCCCTACATCACTCTTACCCTCAGTATTTACTGCCTGAACCTACCCCCAGGGCCCATCACTCTGGGTATGAGGCATCTTTCTGTGTGATCTTTTCTCTGCATACATTTTTAGCTCTTTGCAGTTCAGGGAGTGTTTTCTCATTCATGCTGGGAACAGACCAATCCTCTGTAGCTGTGGCGAGGATAGATTAGAGACTGAATCACCCATCCCATTGCCATCAGAAGTTGTCTGCCATTTGGGATATGGAGCATGTGGTCTCCACTCTGCTGTTCACCTGGCAGCATCATGCACCTAGGAAATAGCCGAGAGAAATTTAACTGATTCTTTTATATAATTCATGATACTACCAGCTGTGTAGCACTGCATGAGTCACAGGGCCTTAAACTTGAGTGTATTGAAAGGATTGTACCATATCCGTGGTGTTGCATTAGCATTGGCTAGCACTGTGCAGAATGCACATGCCAGGCCCCTGCCCCAGGGAGCCTGACCAGGCTCAGGCATCTGCCTCTGAAGAAGCTCCCTCATGACTCTGATGCAGGTGGTCTGCAGGCCATACTGTAAGGCAACACTGGCCCCAAAGCCCCACGAGGCCTGTTTTGCTACCATTCTCTGGCCACTCATGACAAAATCAGATACCAGCCTTTTCCCCCAGTGAGGACCTCACGCTTGCAGACCCTCCCTGGACTCAACCTGCCCTTGTTTTCTCCTTGTTTCCCCAAGTGTGTGGCTGTGGCCTAGCCCAGACGGGCTTCTTCTTCAAGAACCAGGAGTACATCTGCACCCAGGACTACCAGCAACTCTATGGCACCCGCTGTGACAGCTGCCGGGACTTCATCACAGGAGAGGTCATCTCCGCCCTGGGCCGCACCTACCACCCCAAGTGCTTCGTGTGCAGCTTGTGCAGGTCAGCAGGTGGCCAGCAGGGCCTGGGCCCTCAGGGTGAGCCCCAGGGAAGGGAAGACATGGCCATTCCCAAACAGTTCTGGGGCTTACTGGGCTTATGCTAGACACCTGACCTCAAGGACTGCAAGGACGAAAGGATCTGAAGGGCCAGTGGTATTCAAACCTTTTAACAGCTGAATCCTTCCCTTCATGTGCAGTCTGATGTAAAACACTAGTTCATCCTATGATGGAGGCACAGTGAGGATCCAAGCCTCATACTCAGTTTCCCATTTCTATCAAAAGCCCCACCTACACCCAAAAAAACCACTAAGTACCCTGGTCCCTTGGGATACAGTTTGGAAACACAAATCTGGCTCAGGCTCCTGTGACTTAATCCACAGGTGGTACAAGGATGTCTGTTTATAGCCTTCCTCCACCACCACAGTACCATCTCCTGCTGGCAGGGTGACCCTAGTAAGGGACCCCACCTCTGTACATTTCAGTTTCTATATCAGTAATAAGGGCTCAAAACCACAGCAATGTCATTGGGTTTTTGTGAATATCAGTGAGATGCTGAATGCAAAGACCTTAGCTCAGTAACTGGTACATAGTGTGTCTGTAATTATTCTTCTCATTGTCTTGATAACCATCTAGCCTCTCTCAAGACCTCTCCAAAGATGGAGAGCACCTCCCTGCCCCCTTCTCCACCCCAGCATCTCAATCACTTGTTAATCTAGCAAATGTACATTAAGAGCCTACTGTATGCCAAGTACCACATTAAGGAGATGGAAAAAAATAAAGAAAAACCTCAGTCCTGCCCACAAATACATTAAAATTTAATGGACATCTCTGATTAAGTAATAAGTAAAGCATGATTGAAGTATATCTGCATTTTTAGTTGGGAAAAGAATTTATAGATTGATTATTATTCTCAAAAAAAATAGCCACTGGTTAGTTACCAGCTAGAGGAACTAACCAATTGGAGTTTCTGATTGAGATTAATGGGAGACTATGTAAGAAAATATAATCAGTCAATTAAATTCATTCATTCATCTATCTCTTAGGACCTGAGCCCTGGGTTCTAGGATTCCAGACCCATCAGAGGTTAGCATAGAGGGTCCATATGGCACAAGGCGAGGTTTAACACTGTGTCTTTCTACCATGAGTTAGTGGCTGGGCCACAGTGAGAGCATGGCTCCCTAGCCTCCTGCCCAGCATCCCCTGCATTGTCCCACACTACAAATACAAGGACAGGGGAACTGCTGGAAGCCTTTTCCAGGGTTTATGCTTACAGATCCTAGGACAGGTGTCCCAAACTGCAGGAAAAGCAAGAAGAGCCAAGCAAGGCAACTGACAGTGTGGGAATCCTGTATATGGCTGATAATTTAGTTGGGGAGGCAGGATCTATCTATACAAGCTTGAGTCTGGGCTGAGCAAACTGAGCAAATACAGAGTAGGAGGGGAAAGTGTTATTTGGGGACTTATAAACTCCCCATTGGGGTAAAGGATTTTGAGAAATATCTGGATAGTGAAAGGAAGAAATTTCAGTAAGTTCAGAAATTGAATTATTTTGTTTTCATATGGGGGAGGTCAAGTGGTGATGGAAAAATATCCTTCCAGGAAGAAGAACCACTCCGTGAGGAGTTAGTAGCCTCTTCCCCTTAAAATTGAGATATATAAGCCCAGATAAGCAGCATGATTTGTTCAGTGTCAAATCATATGAATGGCTCTTGGGGACCTCCAGTTCTGACCTCCAGGACCCTCATTGAGTGGTTTAGTCAGCCTGTCACTGTGAACAGCATTTGAATTTGCCTGGTGCTCTAGAAAGGCAAGCTGCATGTGTTCATGCATTGCTGTGAGCATATGTGTTATCAGGTCACCAATAGTCACAAAATCTCAGGAGAGGAAGCATTGACTTTCTTCCTTGTCCCCCTTGCAGGAAGCCGTTCCCCATTGGAGACAAGGTGACCTTCAGTGGTAAAGAATGTGTGTGCCAGACCTGCTCCCAGTCTATGACCAGCAGTAAGCCCATCAAGATCCGTGGACCAAGCCGTGAGTCCTCCCCACTGGGCACCTCCTCTTCAGGGGTGCACCTCCATAGGTTCCTCGGTTCAGTCACTGTCCACCACTCCCACAGGCCTAAAAGGAAGCAGGGGAGGTTCCCACCCTGGAAATTCCTAAGTGTGACCCAGTTGGCAGAGAGCCCAGACAGACATACAGCTCTACGAACATACTGCAGGGAAGACAGGCTGCCCAACTGGAAACTCTGATGGCCAGTGCACTTCATCAGTCACTTGGGTGGCTCTCTTCTGGGACAAGATAGGTACCTGCTCTTATGTCCCAATGACACCGCGACAGGGTTGATCAAGTCTTGTCACCAGTGGTCCTCAATTATTACAAACTCCACAAAGAAAATATTTTCAGACATGTCTCACAGAGGAAGTAGGGAAGCACCTGGGAGCAAACAAGAGATTGGGMTAGTGCTTTGGACAGAATGTTCCATGGACCCCTGCATCAGCTTCACTGTGAAACCTGTGAAAATGCAAATTTCTGGGCTCACCTTGGACCTCTAGGGATGGACTGTAAGAGTCAACCCTCTTAGTAGCTTCCTGTGTGAGTCATTTGCTAGTCCTAAAATTGGGAACCATTATGTAGGGATGAGGGGCAGCTGATGTGCCATATTATGTTTTATCACCAAACCACAGGTTTGAGGGATAGTGAGGATCGAGAGTGTATCTTGGAGCACTCATCTTCCTGGTGGAAGTCCATCCTACTCAAGTGTGCCTAGCAACAAGATGTCTAAATTACTGTTCCCAGATGCCCTTGTCAGACTGCTGACTTCATGCACCTGCACACACATAGATCAGCCCCCTGGGTCTCCGTCAGCCACATTAGGCTCCAATGTGCTTTCATGTTATATGACACTGRCTGGCCTCATGGAGAGAATCAATGAAAACCCATTAGCCTCTTGGGCTGTATCATGGTGCGGGTACAGGGGCTGCCAGACATGGCCCAGCAGAGTCAGCATGTGGGGGATGTATCCCATCTAGGAGGGTGAGCAGAGAACACCTCAAGTCAGCAGGGTTCAGTTCCCAGGGGCTCCATTAGAGTCTGCCCAGCGTGGTCAACCAAGAGGAGGGTAGAGAAAGGCTCCCTCCCTTGCTTTCCCTTCCCTTCAGTCAACTGGAACGTGTTCCCAGAATGTGCAGCAGCCTTCCTTCAGTGTCCTTGGCAATGCCCAAGAACAGTTTGCCGTTCTAAGTTTCCATCTCAAGGTGGCTGAGTGTACATGCTGTTATCCTTCGTAACTCCTTGGAAACATCATCCAGAAACAGTCAGAGGCTAGGATTGCAGGTCTGTAGCCTGTGACTGATGCCACTGAGAACCCTAGAGGCCAGTGGAACCAACATGCAAAGCAGTAGAAAGCAGGGCAAGCTTGAGTCAGGAGCCTGCCAACCTTCTGCATGATGCAAAATCAGTCAAGTCGACTTCCTGAGACTCAGTTTACCCAGCTCTGAAAGAGGGATGGAATTTCTTATCATCCTCTCAGGATTGTTGTAGAAAGCGAATATATTAGTATGTAAGAATTGAGCTAACATACAACATACACTGTAGCGTGTAAAATATAAAGTGAGCACACCAAAGGAGAACTGAGATTAAGATTCCTGTTATTTCTCTCAGGTTGTACTAATGTTTCTGTGTGCTGGGATCTGGCCAGAGGGAGATTTCCTCAGCTAAATGTGGAGTCTCACATGTGAACTCTTCTCAAAGAGAGACTCCTAAATGTCTCTACCATAATTTTGCAGAGTAGGAGGTAGAGAAATGTGAGGGAAAGCGAGTTTGTGGACAGTTTTCAGGAGGAGCTTTTAGGATTGTAGCTTCTGTCATTATTCATCACACACACACATCAATCCATGGATCCACATATATTTCGTAGAAGGATTTTCTCCTAGGTGGTCACTGTTCATGCTGCAAATGCCAGTGGAGCTGACTAGAGGGCATGCTGGAAGTCCTCCTGAGTTCCCAAAGAAGAGAGGAGAGCCAAGAGATCAGCCAGGTCTGAGAGATTGCCAAGAAGAACATATCATGGAAAAGGAAAAAGAACCTGTTTTCTGTTGTTTTTTTCCTTAAGCTACAGCAGTGTGGAGTTTTTATCTTTGGAGAGTAAATAGAGATATTCTTGAAAAACAGGAGCAGTGTTTGCTCAAAAAAGATCAAGAAGAATACTCAGGAACTGTCAAGAAGAAAGAATCATGTTACTTACCAGAGGAAAAAGAAATGTCTCCTCAGATCTCACAGAGAAGAATCAGCAGCAGTTACAGCATCAGCATCACCACCATCACCACCATTACCACCATCACTACTACCATCACTTAATACCACCACCATCACCACTACTCCACCATCACTAACACCATCACTTAACACCACTACTACCATTACCACCACCATCACTTAACACCACCACCATCACTACCATCACTGAATACCACCACCATCACCACCACTACCATCACCACCACCATCACTTAACACCACCACCATCACCACCATCACTACCATCAACACCACCATCACTTAATACCACACCATCACCACCACTACCATCACCACCACCATCACTTAATAACACCACCACTAMAATCACTATCATCACCACCACCATCACTTAATAACACCACCACTACAATCACTATCATCACCACCACCATCACCACCATCACTACCATCACCACCACCATCATTTAACACCACCACCATCACTTAACACCACCACTACTACCATTATCACCATCACCACCATCACTACCATCATCACCATAACTAACATTAGCATCAGTGTCACCTTCATTACTGCCACCACCACCATCACATCATTATCACCATCACTAGCATCACATCACCCTCACTGCTTATCACTACCAACTCCCCCATCACTATCACTGCCAGTATCACCATTATTACCATTGTCAGGCAACTGCACTAAATATGCTACACAAAAATTTTATTTAATCACTACAGATTCAAAGGGTCTAAATGGTTTCTCCAAAGTGACACAGGTAACAAGACAAGAGACTAAGCAGCCTAATTCTGGAGGTATTCTGCTAACACCCCACCAGAAACATGACTTGCTAATTGGAAGGGTTATATCTTCCTGGATTAGTTACCTAGAACAAAGTGGGTAGCTTGCTGTGACTCATAAAACCCACTTATTTTTGCTGATCTAAGTGGAATGAATGACATAGTAAACTAAACTTAAAATGGTGGCCAAAAGTCTTTAGAGGCTGCAGTAATAAACTGAGGGACTTGGAAGGAACAGGTGGAGGCATCAGACTTTCTGCCAGCTAATGATTGTAATTTTGGAATGGACAGCTGGCTCTGCAGAAACCAACTCAGTATAGGGTGCGGTTCTCACGACTGCTTATGACACCAGATYCATGGTCTCCCAGATGGGGTGTCTGAAGCTCCACCAGTAGTCAAGAAGGAAAGGAGGAAGAAGGAGGAGAAAATCATCCAGATAAATATGAAACCAGTACAATGGAGGACCAGCAATGAATCATGAAAAGAAACACAGAGAAGGCATCCCAGAACTAAGCAGAGCTTCACTGCAGAGGATCATTGCCTGTAGCCTCAGATCAGAGATCAAGCATCACTTGGGATGTGGGTTAAAAACAGGAGAGTGTGAAATAATACAATAACCATTTATGGATACATAATGTTACTTCTACCTGCTGATCAAAAGGAAGGAATTCAGATGAGGGAACCAGGGCTCAGAGGTCAAACGACTAGATGGTTCTCACCTGGGCCAGCTTCTCACTCATTCAACCTCTCATTGAAGTGTTAACCACTGCACTGTACTGGCTCCTAAATTTTAGCTCAAGATGCTAAATTCATGTCAGATTTTCACTTTAATGCAGCAGATGGGACTCATCATTGGAAGGTGGCCATGGAACAATGCAGCCATTAAATAAGTTTTATTGACAAAGTGGAGGACTGTTTCGTTGGCCAGTAGCCTCTGGCCTCCACAAGTGAACTGGACCAGTGATGACCACAGCAAGTGAAGCACAAGAAAGAGTACCAAGGAGCCTTACTTGTCTTTATTTGAAGGAAACGTCATGTGAGGAAAAGATGATTATTCTCATTTGCATAAGAGTGGGGGAATCATTGGAGGGTGGCATCAGCTCCACATAAAGACGGAATCCATGGCAGTCATACCTGTCCAAACAGAGTGGCCTTCTTCAAGAAGGGCTGAATGGCTTACCCCTGACGTGACTAAGTGGGGGAGGGGGAGGCACTTTCAATCATGTGACAAGTTCCTGCCCTGGCTGGGATATTTGACTAAATGCTCTGTGAACTTAAAGCCCCTGTAGAGTTATTAAACCCTACTGGGGAGTCTCACAGAGACAAAAACGTTCGGTCTCTGTGGCCTAGAAAGCTTGACCAGAGGCCTGCAGTGTGTACATTGAGGTTGAGCACGTCACTCAGACACCAGCACTTCATCGGGACTAGCTCCTCCTCACAGCCAGCTAGACGCAGGGTCACTTCATCTTCTCTCCCAGGACAGGCTCCCAGCAGGATTGAGGACTGTCCAGCCAGGCTCCCCCAACTCTACATGTGACCCCTTTTTCCTCACTGCTACAAAGTGCGCATTTGCCGTGTGGCGCCAACAGGACGGTTTGCCCTCTGGTAAACTTTGCCCTGTGACCCTGTCCTCCTCTGAAGCGGGCCATCCGGTCAGCTAGGCCTGAATTCCCAGCATCTCCCAAGTACCTTGGCTGCTGGCTCCATTTCCTGCCCCTCCCCTCCTCAGACATTCATTGAGCAACAAGCAGACCGCTGGGCCTGCCCCACATTCTGCTGGCCCCAACACACATTCCAGAGTGATAGTGACAGGGAGTGAGGGGACAGTTCTGGTTTGGGACAGAAGATTCATCAGACTCTAATCTTTGCTTCTTGGGAGGCAAATGTTTGCTGTATAAGCACATTGGGGAAGGGAGGGGTGGTGTGGTGACTTCTGTCCTTTGCTGAGCACTGTAAGGGCCACCTGTTCATACTCCTTCAGCAGACAGGCTTGGAGTTCCTACCATGCTCTGAGCACCATGCCAGGCTAAGGAAGGGATTCAACCTCAAAACACAGACGTGGCCCTTGCCACTGAGTGTACAGGCAGGAGAGAGAAAAAGAAAGCAGACTATCCCCAGGAGGGGTGCCTCTCAAACTTCACGGGGCTCAGAGATCTTGCTGAAATCCCCAGGTCTGGGTGGGGCTTGCCATGCCACATGCTGCAAATTCCAAGAAAATAGGGGTGCTGTMGGTGCCAAGATCATGGAGTGATGCACAACCTCAGTTACCAACCAGAGGAGGGAAGAAGCAGCGCACGACCGCTGTGGTTGAGCCGCAGACACGATGATAAGCAGGAAGGTCTTTTTCTCCCCTCCACCAAGTGCCCTGTGGACAGGCCAGGTCTCCAGGGGCCTTTTCTCTTCCCTAGTAGGGTCTCTGGGAAGCTGCCAATGCCAAGGTGGGAAAACGTGTTGGGGGTGGGGATTCCCTTGCTGGGGGCATGAGTTGATGGCAGGAGGGCCAAAAATCCCAGGGCGTTTTGCTCAGCAGTGTCCTCTTGTCTTTTCAGACTGTGCAGGGTGCAAGGAGGAGATCAAGCACGGCCAGTCACTCCTGGCGCTGGACAAGCAATGGCACGTCAGCTGCTTCAAGTGCCAGACCTGCAGTGTCATCCTCACCGGGGAGTACATCAGCAAGTGGGTGTCCCTCTCCCTGCCGGTCCCTGCTTCCTGGGCCTCTGTGTCCACCAAGGCCTACCCCATCTGTCCTCTAGCTGAATCTCCAACATCACCCCTCCTCACTCCTAGCTGCCACACTTGAGCTACAAACCTCTCTCCGCCCACAGGCCCTCCCATGCTGTTCCCTCTGCCTATGGTGGTGTGGCCCCTCTCAGCACTTGGTCCTTCACTATGCCTCCTGCTCAGAGGTGCCCTCTATGCCACGCCCCACCTCCACTCCCCCAGCCCCAGCCCTCAGACTGCTGCTTGTTTCCTTTGCCCGGGCTGCCAGCATTTATAATTATATCCTTATCTGTTGTAACTTTTTAATAATGTTTACAAGTCTAACTACCATTTACTGAACTTTTATTATGTGCAAGGAAGTTATTAACTGCTATGGATGGATTATCACATTAAACCCCCTTAACTACCCCCATGAGGGGTCTGTCTCCATGGGATACTAAGACTCAGGGGAGTAACTTACTCTAGTGGTGGTGTTTATTCCTCCCACCAGGACAGGGGCTTTGTTTAGTCACTGTGGTATCCTCTTCCCATAGTCAATAATGCCTGATCATTGTCAATAATATAGTTATTGAATGTATTTAACTGAGATAAGAGGAGATTATGGACACATAAAGCTATTGGGACAGAGGAGCCAACCCCCAGAAAACTGCACACTGCAGCTTTGAATAAGCCCCCTTGTTGCTAGATCCTAGTGACCACATGTATATACTGAAGTACCCAAAAGCTTCTGACCCCAGATACTTTCTAGGCCCATATGTGGCCTGATGCCAGGAGATGGTGAGCATGTAGTGTTGCTGTATATATAGTTTCTGCTTTCAAGACACAGTTTAATAAGGGAGATAGGCTGTATGCATGAAGAATCARGGTATATGAAAGGAGTTCATGAGAAGTTTAAATCATAAAACATTTTCAATCATAACTGACAGAGAACCCAATTCTAACTCACTTAAAAGCAACAGGAGTTTATTAACTCACAGAAATTGAAAGTTCAGAGGCATACTGGCTTCAGGCAGGGCTGCATCTAGGGACTTAAAGATGTCTACAGATCTCTCTCTCTCCCACCCCCCACCCCGCCCCATGTTGAATTCATTCTCAAGCAGTCCCTCCCTAAGTAGCAAAGAAGATAACCAGTAATGCCAGGTTTTTTTTTTTTTTCCCCTTCTATCAGCTTAGCAAGCCTAGCAGACAGAGGCCTGTTTCCCAAGACCTTCAGCAAATATCCCAGGGCTGCCTCTGATTTGGCTACCCTTGGGTCAAACACCCATTTCTGATTGACCACTAGCAAGGAGGATACAATCCTAGAGCCATCAAGCAGCCTTTGTGACCTACAGTAACCTCAAGTGAAGGAGTGTCTTCCAAAGGAAAATCCTAGGACTGGTACCAACAGAAGGGGAAATGGATGGTAGCCAAACAACACCTGCCTATGTCCAAGGTGCAAGTGAAGGACAGTGAACATTCAGAAGAATGAGGGGTCACTTTTAATTAGCAGGAAGTGGAGTCTGGAAACTGTGAACTTCGTGGCAGGTGATAGTCTTTGGGCTGGATGTTGGAAAAGGGTGTAAGATTTGAAAATGCACAGGAGAGTGTGCATACCTAGCCTGGCAAGACAAGACAGGTTGTGAGTGTGGAGCACCCACCCTCACCCCATTTGGGAGCTCGAGTGTGTGCAGAGATGAAGCAGAGTCCCAGGCTGCAGAGGTGAGCTGAGGTCGGGTCACCAAAAGTTCTGAATGCATGTCAGTGGGAGTTTGGCATTTCCCTCTGGACCTGCCAAGGAAGGAGTGTCCTTAGTAAGTCATCAGCCAGGAGTGCTTGAATCTGGGAGCCCAAGTCAAAATTCTCTGGGGCAGTAAGAGCTTGCTCTGAATTCCTCTCAAGGAGGCCCAGCCCAGGTTACCCACTACACCTGGCGCCTCTACAGTCTGCCTCTGGATTCCTCACCTGGTTGAGACAGAGTGGTGATGGCATCAGATGCCCAGAGTAGAAGCCCAGTCTGTGTGACCTAGGCCAGGGACTCAACTGCTCTGAATCTTAGCTTCTTCATTTATAAAAATAGGTTTAATAAGATCAACTCCTGGTAGGGATGTGTCAAGGCTCAGAGATCTGTACTTTGTACCTAATGAGTGCCCAATAAATCTTCATTTTACCATCTATCTTTTCAGAATCAGGGACATTTCAAGTTCCTTAAGGCCTCCCCAACTCAGGCATCCAAATAAGGTTGTGTTGGCATTTATAGCCAAATTTTTCTGGCTCATTGACCTGCCTCCTAATGAACAATTTTTGCTTCCCCTGCAAAGTAGCCCTCTTGTACTCACAGAGTGAGAACTTATTTGAGGGCTGGGGGGTGGGGGGTTGAAGGAGTGGAGGAAGCTGGTCTCATAGGGTCACAAGTAAGTCCTTACTCTGTGGGTACAGTCTCACCTCCAGTTCTTTGCCACTCTTCAGCTCTCCTTGTTGCTTCTTCAGGAAGTGCTGGCTGCCCTGCTGTGCAGGCAGGGCTCCCAGAAGCCCCAGCATGGCCCCATCTTTGAGATAGAAACTTGGCATGTCTGTCCTTTATGTCACACTTTGAACCAACTTCAAAATGGGGGAAACATCCCTCTCTCCTCAGAATTCAGTCCCACTCCTTAAAGTTAGGTAGGTCCAAAAGGCTAGGCTGAGCTCACCAGTGTCCTCAACTGTTTCTGTGTCAGCTCTGGAGAGCTGAGCACCAAACATCCCTCCCCAAATCCCCTCTAAGCAATCTTGGCAATTGCTGCCATGAGCTAAGTACCCACTGTGGGCCAGGCACCATGCTAACCCTTGGATACACTGGCCCTATCTCCTTTAATCCTCATGTAAACCTGGATGAGAAACCAGACCATCTGGATCCAGATCCCAGCTTCCTGTCATCCTGGGTGGCCTAGGACATGTTATTCAATGACTTCCTGCTTGGGTTTTCTTGTCCACCCTTTGGGAAATAGCATTGAGCCCATGGGGCTGCCCTAAGGACTAAATGTGAAACACCACCAGAGAGCCCAGCACACACCAAGCAAGAAGTGCTAGTGGTAAGAGGTAGTGTAAGTAGTATGAGGTAGTGGAAGATAACTGATGGCAATCTTATCTCTGTCTGCTAAGTCCGAAGCATTAAGTAGAAATGGAGTGTATAGGAGGCATTCAGGGGAAGCTGCTGATTTTGCAGCACAACCAGATGGTTCTTTCACTACAGGTGAGATGTTTGATTAAAGGAGGAGCCCTTCAGGATGTGCAAAACATTGATCACATCCATTACCTCCTGGAAGGAACCCTGACCTGAGAGGAACTGKAGGGAAGGCGGGGACTTCTCCCTTTATGCCTTGAGACTGTTGTATCACATACCAATATTACCTATTCTAAATAAAAACAACCCTTAGATGTTTTAAATAATTTTCAGAATCTTTTGAGGGCTAAGGGAAGAGAATGGGTCTGGAGAACTCCTGGAGAGGGGTAGAAAGAGGGTGGAAAGGGCCACCCTAGGCCAGCATCCAGAGCAGGAGCTGCCATCCGTGCTGGGGAGCTTACCAGATGCAATGCCTGGGCCCTCTACCCCAAGGATTCTCTGATTCCATGGTTCCAAGGGGAATCTGAGGAATCTGCATTTCAAATTATCTCAAAGCACTTCCAACCCCGGCCCAGACACCTTAGGCTGCAGGTCCTGGCACTCCCACAGGACACCCCCAGGGATCCCCCTAACCTCCTCATCCTGTGTCCATTTCCTCTTGCAGGGATGGTGTTCCATACTGCGAGTCTGACTACCACTCCCAGTTTGGCATTAAATGTGAGACCTGTGACCGATACATCAGCGGCAGGGTCTTGGAGGTGAGTGGGCCCATGTAACCATGAAGATACGCGAGCAAGATGGTCTGTGGCTCCAAAATGCCGTCACCAAGGAAAGAGAAAGTCACCCCAGACCCCTTCTTTCATAGCCTAAACCTCCCCAGCTTTTTAAACAGATAACCTTGCCAAGATCTCTGAACACCCCCAGAATGATAAAGTTGACACAATTATTCCTGGTTCAAAAATTGCTGTGCTGGAAAAATCAGTTGCTTCTTTGGCTTCCGACCTAGACATATTTCTGGGGAGTAACAATTAGGATTTTCCTCTCAGCCGTGCCTAAGGATGGAAGCTTTTTTAAAAAAAAATTTTAAGTCTTTGGTAATATGCTGATTTAAGAACCAGCATGTCTAGCAGCTTGCTCCCTAAGCCCTTCTTTGGCTGGTCCATCACCATGGCAACAGTTCTCCCAACCTCTGATGCACAGTTTGCTCTGCCAGTGACAGACCACCTGCAGCACCTTGCTGAGCCCTTACCTGAGCCCCCATCCACTGGCCTTCCTGGGCCTCCTTTATATACTATGTGACCTGGAAGCTGTCTTCTCTATTCACCTTGAGAAATTAGAAGCAGAAAAGAATTGGGTACAAAGGAAAAAAATAATAGCATAAGAGAAGGAACCATTAGGATCTAATATTGACTCTACTGTTAACTCATATTCAGATACGGCTAACATACTCAGATTGTGGCATTAAATGCGAGACCTGTGACCTCTACATCCGCAGCAGGGCCTTGTTTGGTATTAGATGAGAGACCTGTGATGTTTTTCATCTGACAATGGCTGGGGTATGGCAGACTGGGTGAGCTACTGTGAGCAGAATTACTAGTTTTGCCAGATCCAGCCAGCTGATGGTGGTTACCATGTGTGCTGAGCTGAGACGGACTCTGTGTCACATGTGGTCTCAGCAGGAGACGGTGTGGCAATCAGAAAGAGCTCTCCAAGGAGATGCACGGGAGAGAGGCTTGAGGGTGGGAAGGCTGGCACATGAGCTAGAAGAAGAATGAGCTTGACCCCTGCAGAGAACAGAGAAAGGGGCCAACATGGCTAACATCATAAACAGAAGATAAGGGAAGATGAAGTATATCATAGAGGGAAAATCTCACAAGACTTTGTAGACCAACTTTAGGAGTTAGGGTTTTATACTAAGTGCATTGAAAAGTCATTGGAACACATTTTAGGCATAAAGTTACTGGACTGATTTGATAGCAAGTGGGTAATAATCTCACAATGGAAAATAAGATTTCTCTCTTGATGTTGTATTCAAAGCCTACTTCCTTGACTTAGAAAGTTTGTGTACAAGTTTCTTCTAATTTTGTCATAAACCTATGTAAATCTCTAGATGACAAACTGGCTCTTGTTCATAAGGTACTGCCTTGCAGCTATGCACTCTAATTAATCAAGGTCATTTAAATACATTTTGCATGAATCACCTAAAGTAAAAAAAAAAAAAAAAAAAAGAAAAGTCATTGGAAAGTTTTTCAACCAAGGAGCAACATAACATTATATTTTTTTAAAAGTATAATGTAGAGAATTAACTATAGGGAATCAAAGGGAATAGGATGAACAAATGCACTGAGTGGTTAAAGAATTAAGCATTTCCAAGGGTAGTAAGGAGTGCAAAGCACAGGCCTGGGATACAGGACCGAGGCCTGGGATACAGGACTGAGGAGTAGGTGTGTGATTCAGACAATGGGAATTGTGGAAAGATTGGGCAGGAGTAGCCTGGCTGGAGCCACACCTCCAAGAAGATAACATGATGATGTTCACTGGCTAAATTTGAAGGAAGGAAGCTGAAAGAGGAGACCAACAAGGAGGCCACCCTATGACCAGGCAACCATCTTTGTCTCCAACATCAATAGCAGTAAAATTCCAACAGTTCTGCAGTGATGGGGTAACTTGTAGATGTGGGGACTCAAAGAGAAGCCAAGAGTTGTACCAAAATATCAAGCCTGGATGATAGGAAGTCTGTTGTCTCCATCTGCCGAACTGGGGATGACAGAGAGACAAGTTGGTCTGGGCAGAAACATGCCAAGGTCCTCTTGGGACAGGCTGTGATTGCAATCCAGGAAGGGTGCAAGAAGGCAGTCCAAAATATGGACCAGAGCTCAAGAACAAAGCTCTGCCTGCAGGGGCCAATTGCGAAACAATAAAATTTGAATAATAGCACCATGGGAGTTGTCGTGATCTCTAGAGCAGGAGGTGGGAGTGGGGGTGGGGGGGGCTGGAACCAGCTTTGGAGAGTAGCTGGCCTACAAAGATGGAAGAAAGTCCAGAGAAAGAAGAGGGATAGTCAAGGATGCAGGAAGGGAACAGTGAAAGGCCAGAACTTCAAAAAATATGGTGATGTCAGAGTGTGGCCAAACTCTGTAGAGCTGTTAAGGGACATGGGGGCTAGTAAAACATTGTTGGGTGTGGGGAGAGGTGCCCTTGAGGAAGAATTGCTGGGTGCACCTGTGTGACCATGAGGAAGAGGCATCTAGGGTGTAGTGGGGTCGTGGAATGGAACATCACAGAAGCTGGCTTTTCTTTTGAGAAGGAAAGACTTCTGATTATACACAGGACTGTGGGGGGGGAAGCTGTTCCAGCATTTCCCAGCTGCTTTAACATTTTACTGATGGTGCCTGTCCTTTCCCCAAGCATCACTGTTGTTTAGCATGGTGGTGATCTCTCCCTCCAAGGCAACTGCAACTGAGTTTTGATTGATTCCACTTTTACAAGGCTCCATTAGCATCTTGGGCTTATTGATTTTTTTTTTAAGCTGGAAGAGACTTAGACTTGTTCAACCTCCTCACTTTACAGATGAGAAAAGTGAGACCCAAGACTTGAGGTTGCCTTTCCAAGGTCACAGGAAGCATTTCTAGTAGGGACAGGGGTAAAAATCTAGGACTTCAGGCTCCTGTTCCCACACGGATGCTCACAGCCCTAAGCTACTCAGGGAGTTTGGGGGTAGCATGATGTCAAGCCAAAAAAACATGGTTGCAGTGAAACAGATTTGGATTCAGATTGTGTCACTTCTAGCCATGAAACCTTAAGAAAGTTACTTGCCCTGAATCATAGTCTTTGCCTGTCAATAGAGACTACTACTGTCATTTTATTCCTAATGGATATGTTAGGACTTGTCTGGCTACAAGTAGAGAAACTATACTCAAATGGCTCAGGCTGAAAAGGAAATGAAGCCAGGAGTAATTCTGGCYGGCTTCAGGCACAGCTGGATCTAGTGCCTAAAGGAAAATTACTTGAAGTCTGGCTATCTCGGCTCCTCTTCCTTTCTACATTGACTTTATTCTCAAGAAGGGTCTTCTTTGGGATGAGAATGTTGGGCACTATTCCCTGCAGGCCTACATCCTATCAGCCAGCATCCCTCATGGAAAGCAATCCTCTCTCCTAATAGCTTAGCAAACATCCTGGGACTGACCCTGACTGGACAATTTCAGGCCCATTGCGAGTCAGTCATTGTGCCCATAGAATTATAATATGCTTATTGGTGGGGTCAGCACTACTTCACCAGATGGGCTGATGTGGGGGATAGGTAGTCCCACCAAAGAAAGTCTTGGTGCTGWTTCTGCTGCTGTTGACCAAGCAGGGCCCGGAATATTACTGGTGCACCACAGGCACTTAATAAGTTGCTTCTCCCCTTCTAATCTCAACCCTTCCCCTTCACTCCTCAGGCCATCCCATAATCCCTTCCTCAGTGACATCTCAGTAAGACTACTGAATGGCAGTCCCCATCCTTCCTTCCCTGTCCATGTCCTCGCCATGGAGAACCAGAACCTGGGCTCGTTGCTGCACTCCTCACCTTGGTCGCCATTCTCGGTCCTTCCCAACAGGGCCCCCCTTTTTGGATACCAACTCTCTGCCATTTTTCTTCACCATTTCCTTGATTTCGGTTGTTAACAGGCGCAGTGGTCTTATCTCACAGACTTCGGTGCAGGCTGCTCTAACAGCCTCCCTTCCCTTGACTCGTTTTCTACACCCCCTGTGGCCAGGATTGCTGAGATGGGCCCAGAACCTGTTTCAGCTGGGGCGGAGTGGTGGGGTGTGACATTTAGAAAGATGTTACGCTTCCCTTTTGCCAAAGCACTGTTGTCATCCTGGGAAAAAGGTCTATAATTGAAATGATAAAAAGACACAGAGTAGGAAGAGGCTACTAATTAAACCTATTATCTTTGTCATGATACCAGAGAATCAGTCCCACAACTTCCCAGCTTGGGAAAACAGCAGGCTCCTGCTAAAGTTTGAATGTAGTTTGGTTGGATGATGACAAGGACATTTTCTCATTGGTGGGAGCCACATGAACAACCAAGAATGAAAAAAAGAGGATATTGGAACATTTTTTAATTTTGTAAAAAAAAAAAAAATCTTCCCATTTTACATTCTTGCTAGGTTTTTAGAATAAATCGAGTATCTCCAGAATAGGTAAGCCCATCCCAACAGCCCCACTCCCCCCAAAATGGTTGACAATAGGGCTTATTATTGCGATTATAATTTTTGAGTTAGAAGGAACACATTAGCATCAGTTCGAGCGGTGAATTGGAAAGGAGACCTTACAACCCATATCCAACAATTATCCATCTGTTTTCCCCAGTTATTACTGATCAAAAAAAAAAAAAACCCTCTCCCCTGACATGCAAAATATTCCTTCCAAACAAGCCCCACTTCCCAAGTTAGTCCCTGCCCCCCCACTACCATATACAAATTGGGAGTTACCACCAAAGGGCCCTTACATTTCAWGTCCTCCCAGCTGGGATGTTAGTGTCAGATGTATTGGTATGGACTGCAATATTGAGCTGGTGACTGCTCCCACAGTCTGGTCCCAACACTACTGGCTTCCATCGAGACCTTGAGGCACAACCTTCTTGGATGCTATTTCTTACCTAATATTGAGAATGGTCCTTAAGAGGCCTCACTGACAKACAAGAAAACTTATAAACATAACCGGAAAGCCTGTATCACTTGCCAAGTTCAGATAACTCCAAATTGAATATAGTGCTAGCTAGATTCTATTGCTTATAGAGGCTGCAAGCCTCACACCTGTTCTTATTCTTAAAAGAAGAGCTGAGTATGTTTTAGATAAACATTAAATATGTACTGGCACCACACTGGTACTTTGTCTTTGATAAAAATCAGAAGTAGTTGAATATTATCCTATCTTAAGTTCATGAGTCACTTAAAGCCATTTCCAGTACCAGTAGTAGTAAAGGCCCCATGTGTGGGGAGATGCTGAGATGTCCTCAAAACGAGACTGTTTCCTCCTGGAAATGAGGAGGTGGAACGAGTGGCCTCTGAAGGGCCCTTTCCCCTACAGGTTTCCATGGAAGTCCCCTGAGTCTCCATCAGGGACCCATGGAGGGAGTCACCAGCTTCCTAGGTGGACTCTCATATGGTTCTGGATTCCCCTGGGTGGTCCTCCCAACCCACCGTGGGGCATATGGAGACACCAACAGCTGCCCTCTGGACAGTAGCCCCAGCTCTGACACCCTATTTCACCTCTTGATTTCCRCAGGCTGGAGGGAAGCACTACCACCCCACCTGTGCCAGATGTGTGCGCTGCCACCAGATGTTCACAGAAGGGGAAGAGATGTACCTCACAGGTAAGCAAATCGAACCCTCTGTAGGGCATTCCAATCTGCTCATGACTGAAAAGGAGACGTGGTTGCCTTCCATTTTGATGTTATCTTAGCTGTTGGCTTGTCCTCAAAATTGCAATTAATTCGCCTCTCTCTGGGTGGATGGGAAAAGTTGCCGGTGTGGCTAATATGAAGTGACATGTAATCTGCCTTCCATCCTCGTGCRCCTCCACCCGCTGCTCAGCTGGCCTGCTTCCCTGGCAGTGCTCTGAGAAGATCCTCTGGTTCTGCCTGGGGRTGGGAGGCTGCGTTGCACAGGGCCACGGGGTCGGAGGACCTCAGAGAGATGTCTCAGTGGCAGAGAGTCTACAGCATCACAGCCTTTACCCTYCCCCATCTCATCCCAGTCCTTCTCCCCACATCTCAGAGATCGCACCAGGCTGCTGCTGAAACCTTCTCAGGCTCTCAAAGGTCATGAAGAGAAATGGAGGACACTAACCATCCCCAAAGCAAACCAGGGCTGCTTCCCCACGGCAACCTCCCAGGGTCCGGCCTCTGGCCTAAGGATTCCTGCAACGGTCACCCAGTTGGTCTCTGGATTCTTCTCAGTCCTCCATCCTCAGCCCAGTCTGTTATCCTGGGGCATCACAATACTCTTGGCTTTGCCCCACTGAGAGGTCTTCCAAGTCCCTCCTTGCCCACCAGTTTACATAMAGACTCTTCAGCCTTGCATGCTAGATCCTCTCACCAAAGTCCCAAAATAGCCTTGAACATACTCAGCACTTAGGCTGCCAAAGCCAATCTTCATTCCACTTATTCATCCCTTCAACAACTATTTCTTGAGCCCCTACCATGCACAGGCTGTGCCAGATCCCCCACAGCCCTACAGTCCAGTGAGGAGATGGGCAGTTAGTTGAAATCCCAGAAGTAAAGGTCAACAGGGGTGAGTRCCAGGAGGGGAGAAAAAGGGGTAGTGAGCACACGTGGCAGGAGGGGGAGTTCCAGGAAATCCCTGAAGAAGGGCCAGGAGCTGTGAGATCCTGGATGAGTGGGTGTTAACTGGTCTCTCTGTCCATCCAGGCTGCTATAACAAACTACCATGAACAGGGTGGCTTATAAACAACAAAAAATGATTTCTCATAGTTCTGAAGGCTGGGAATTCCCACCCAGGTCCAGGTGCCAGCAGACTAGGTATCTGGCGAGGGCCTGCTTTCTCATGTGCCTTCCTGCAGTGTCCTCACATGGTGAAGAGGAAGGCAGCCCCATGGAACCAATTTTATAAGGGCCCTAATCTTATTCATGAAGGTGCTGCTCTCATGACCTCACCACCTCCCAGAGGTCCCACCTCCTAAGACCATCACCTGAGCAGGTAGAATTTCAACAGATGGATYTGGGGGAACACAAACGTTCAGACTATAGCAACTGGACAAAAAGAGAAGGAATGGAATATGCCAGCCTAACGGGACAGAGTCTGCAAGACTCTAAGGTGGGTGAAGAGATGCTAAGTGGATGAGACAAGAGGAGCTGTGTGGCCAGGTGCAGACAGAGAGAAGAGGTGTGGCTAGGAGGTGGACAGGGTCATCCAGGCTGGGCTTTGGAGYACGATGGTGCTCAGAAATGAACTGGCAGCCCTTCTTCTTGTTTTCCGTTACCCTCCTTTGGAAATCCTACCACTCTAGGCCCAGTTYAATCTCTACATGCTTYATAAACACCCCAGATCCCTTCAGCCCCACCCACAACTTAACCCATGCCCTCCTCCCTGAGTCCCCRCAGTCCTTTGTTTGCAGCTGGTCCCCTCTCTTGTGTAAGAGCTGTTGGTCTTCTCCCTGAGATCCCTGGCTCCTGGCTTTAGCCTCTCATCCCTGACATTGGCCCACCTTTCCTCACTGCACAGCTGCTGGCTGCTGGCTGAATCACTGTGATCAACCCTGCCTAGGTGTTTGAATAGCCACCTTGGAGGGGAGAGAGAGTCCCTCCTTCAGATTTCCCCAGAAGCCTTAAGACCAGAGGGACATGTCTTTCTATTAAACTCATCCTGGTCATTGCTACCCTCAGCCATGAGTTCCCTCAAGCTGTAACGAGGCCCTGGTGCCTACAGCAGAGTTTCTCAGCCTCAACACTGTTGACATTTGGGGCTGGGTAATTCTTTGGTGTGGAGACTGTCCTGTGCTCTATAAAGTATATAGTAGCATCCTTGATTTCTACCTACTAGATTCCACTAATGTGCCCCTTCCCGTTGTGACAACCCAAAATGTCTTCAATATGGCCGGATGCCCTCAGGGAGGCACAATCATCCTCAATTGAGAACCCCTGGCCTGGAGCTCTTCCACAGAACCTGTGCCATCTCCTAGGAGTGCCACAGCAGGGATTCCTGTGCTGAATTGGATGAGGGCACCATTTTTAAGATTTTCTGACTCTGTAATTACTTTCATATACTCTCATACAGCTTTGGTGGGGGATGTGGAAGGATCCCAGGGGCCACTGTAAATTGTAAATTGACTGCCYTCTTTGTATGGATAGGGAAATAGGCCCAGAGAGAGGAAGAGATGGGTGAGAACTACAGTGTGCAGGAGCAAAGCAGGACATGGCCTTGGGAGTCCCCTTCCAAGGTTCTCGCCACCTCTCCTCCTGGGACCCAGGCCCTGCTGCTACTCAAATCCCTCCTTGTTCCCATGAGCACCACTCCCTCCGTGCCTGGGTCCCCAACTGATTCCTGGTGCTAGACTCTGTTATTACAAGTCCCTGCAAACAGCATGATGTCTTTGTGGGCACCATGGGTATCTGGTTATACTGCTTGCTAAATTTATGCCTTTAATAAGTCTCTTCACTCTCTGAACCTTGTTTACATGATCTGTAAAATAAACCAGTAATAGTCCCTGTAAGTACAGGTATAGTAAGTTCTTGACACATGGGAAGCTCCCTATTCATTTAACAAATATCTGTTGAACCTACTGTGTGCTAGTGCTGTTCTAACAGCTAGAGATGCATCAGGGAGCAAGTCAGACAGCCCCTGCCCTCATGGTACTCCCAGCTAATGGATTAGTCTTTGCTGATCCAACTTCACACAGATGCTGAGAGAGTTAATGAACAGCTCTATGATCGTGAGCAAGAAAACACCAGCAAACCTAAGGAAGAAATGCCTCCAGGAGCAGGAGCTATTCTTGGTAGGGGAGAAGGGCCTGTCACCCTCTCATTAAATATCCCCATCCCTACCCTCCTGGCTTCTGGAGAGTGGGAGTAATTGCAGGGCGTTCAAGGACCTGCCTCAGGGGGTGCTGAGTGATCTGGAAGGAGGGGGTTGGGGTCATGCAGTGGTAGAGTCACGCTGACTCCGGCTGTGGGTGTCTTGTGGGGGTGGCAGCCACCAGGTGTTTCTGCTACCACCAGAAGCTGGCCTTGGACACCCTCACCAGGTAGGGGCACCAGGGCTCACAATGACCTCCTTCAGAAATGGCAAGAAAGGGGGCCAGGCACGGTGGTGCACACTTGTAATCCCAGGCACGGTGGTGCACACTTGTAATCTTCATTAATAGACTGTGACCTTGAAAAGTGACTTCCTTTTCTGGGTCTCTTCCTTCACCTGTCCAATCTAGGTAATATCATAGTCTCTGGTTGATCCATTCCACCAGAGGCCACACAGTGTGGCACAGTCTCAACTGTGGGTCTGGTGCTTGGAGCTGAGCACAGTGGGCATGCCTGTTGCCCTGGTGGAGCTTATGGTCTGGAAGGAGAGACTGGCATGATCAAATGAAAGTGAAATGAACGTTCAGGGACAATGGAAATGTGCCATCCATCTAGTCTTTTCCTGGGAGGCCAGGAAAAGGCTCCCCTAAAGAAGGACCATTTCACACCAAAATCTTGAAAATGAGTAGGAAGTAAGAGTGTGGAGAATGGGGGAGGTTRGGGAGGGAGTGAGAACAGCTGGCAAAGAACCCCAGGGGAGGAAACAGGTACATAGTGGAGAAACTGAGGCAGGTCCACACACCTGGTGCATGGAGAGCAGGCACACACCACAGGCTCTCGTGAACATTAGCAGAAAGGATTGATGGGAAGGTGCTGAGGACCCCATAAAGCCATKCAGAACAGGGAGGAGGAAGAGAGAGAAAGAGGCTGAGACAATTCCAGAGAGAGTGTGTTCAGATGCCTACGTCAGTCAGTTCCGTAGCTGGACAGTCTGGTCCTGGCAAATCGTCCTCAGGAGATTCTTTGGTCAGTTTGTTTGCGTTTTAATTGCTGTGTGATGGCTTTCTGATGGGCTCTAATTGGGAGAAGTCTGACGTCTATCTGGAGGAGAACTTCTGGGGCCCCAAAAGACAGAAGCAAGTTTTCTTTTATTTGTTTTTTAAGTTCAGTTGCGCGTTAGTCTTTTAACTGTTTTTGTAAAGATGCCAGATTTCTAATCTGTTTGTTATCCAAACCCTTCATTTGGGCTTCATCAAGAAATTAGGTCACTGATTTTTGTGCGGCAAAATAATAGCTAAAATGTTGCAGGTTCAGGGCAAAAACTCACACTGAAATCACAAAGATTGCAGTTGCTGGACCAGTGGGGGATTTTTTTTTTTAACTCCAAATATGGTTCCTGAGATACATTCTGCTCTTGTTCTAAATGTGCCTGTGCCCCGGGGGAAAAAAGGGAAGGATTCTCTTTCTCCTCTTCTGTGTATAGGAAATATCAGCTCCATCTCCCACCCTATCCCAAGGACCTGCAACAGTAACACTAGAGAAACCAAGTTCCACTTCACATTTTATAACAGTTCTCTGTTATCATTTGTATTTTCAACWAAAACCACAAGGCAGGAAATCATTTATGAAATCCTGGGACAAATTCTGCTCTACTAATGAAAGTATTGTAACACATTGTAGGTCCTACCAATAATAAGCATGATAAAATAATAGTAATAATAAAATGTCATCAGCTGATATTGATTAAGCATTGACTATGTGCCAAGTCCTATACTAGGATTTTTAAATATAATAACCCTCTTTTATCATCACAACAAGTTTGTGAGCTTAAAAAAATCATT